GTATGATCTGATTGACTTCACTGAGTGAAGACTATTTATTGTTTGGCTTCATACTGTCTTTCATCATGATCCATACTACCTAGCTGTTGATAGTCTTCGTGCTTTCACTTCATTGCATACTTGACTATGGCTTGTCTAGTGTAGTCTACCTTCCGCTGCATATAATAGGTTCATTTCTATCGTCTGTCTTCAAGGACATCGTGTTTTGAAGACTTTCATAAAAATCGACTATCCCCCTCCCCCCTCTAGTTGATAACTAGCACTTTCAATTTCTAAAAGGTTCGCACTATGTTTAGAAAAAATGTATAATTAGAAATTTTAAATAATTAACCACAAAACTTCACTTCTTTTAAAACAATGATCATGTAATCATGAAAGGGGTTAACTCATTTAAAATAATGTCCATACAATATGATAATTTTATTTTAGATATACATGAGCATATCTTTCGAACATGTGAACATTCTTATTCAAATAAAGAACATCTTGTGTGAGATTTTAATTTTAAAAGAGCTCAAAGCATGAAAATATTCCATTTAAAAATGACATGAATATAAATATAATTTACTTAACATATACAAGTATTAAAAAAGTTAATGTAACTAAATAAAGTCTTCAACCCATTTTTATAAAAAAAAATAGTGTAATTGTAAAATATCACATATTCTCAAAATTTATAGTATTGTCTAAAAGTGTCAGACTATTTAATTAAATATTCAAGTAATATTTAGCAAAGTTTTATTCAAATATTTATAAAAAATGGTTTGTTTGTTTAAATATTAAAAAATTTAAGAGAATAAATTATAAAATATAACCGAGAGCACGACAAGGAACAAAAACCCAAAAATGTAAAATTAAATGAAACAACAGATAATGAAAAAATAAGCCTATAACTAACAAAATGAAAAATAAAAGGAATTCATTTTTTAGCTACAAACAGAAAATAGAAAAGGAAGACAAATGACGAAAAGGGGCAAGGCCTGTGATAGGAGCGAGGGGTGTTAACAAGCTATATCTCCGGTAGGCAAGATATAGCATTGGCGATCACTATGTGACATAGTGTAGGGTGACTCACATGTGTAGGTAATTTAGGTCGACCACTTACGCGGTCCGTTATATTTTTTTATTTAATTTTCTTCATATTTTTGTTTTGCCTATTTTAGGTGGCTTCTTTTTTTTGGCCTATACACCTAGTTTTTTTTTCTTGTTTCTTCTTTTAAGGAGTCTACCTATTTTGCGAAATTTATGAAGATTTGAAAAATTCAAGACGTTTATGGTCATATTTTTGAAAATATGTGAACATTTACAATTTTATTTTTGGAAAATGTGAGTACATTTTTTGAAATCGTTTGATTAGACTTCTGACCAACGTCTGAAAATAATGCCAGCAATACTAATTATCAGGCCACTCGTTGAAACCTCCTTGCTCGCTAGAAAACCGGATACTTTGCCCGGGTAGGAAACTAGTTGTTCGCACCCTTGATAAGAAAACCGCTTGTTACTTAGCCACAACAACAAATAAACAGCTTCATGTTTTTTAAATTGAAAAAAATATACGTTGATTTTTTTATATCTAGAAAAGTGCCCACAAATTTCAAAAATATTAAGATTTTAGAAAACATTCGCAAATTTTCTTGGCCCCTTATTAGTCAGGACCCTGGGCCATTGAGCTAAGTTATTTAATAAGGGGCTTTCCTAATAAATAATTGGAAATCCTTTTAACAAATCTCATTTATTTTATACTCTTTCTCTTTCTTAGGATAATTTTTATGCTCTTTGAAATATCTCACGGGATATTTATGCGTGAAAGCTTCACTGGGTTTTTTCATTTACTTTTACTATAGTTTGTTCTTATATATTTTTTTCTTTCCTTTTAAGCATTCTTCGTCAATAATTGTCTTCATTTTCTTATTTTGACTTTATTGATATTTAGTGGATGCAATGTTCACGAAAGTTAAAAAATGATTGTGATTTTTTTTAAAAATCACAGGTTTAAGAGTGGTGATCCCTTAGAAAATGTTCGTGCATTTTTAAAAGCTTTCACAAGTTCTAAAAAAATATGCGCAATTTTTAAATAATCAAATTCCAAAATTTTAATAATTTTTAAATAAAAACAGAAAATAGCAAAAACAACTTGGAAAAATAGAAGAAAAGAAACAGAACATAACTTTAAAAGTAAAAATAAAATAGAAAAGGGAAAACCATGATAAAACTAATAAAATGAGAAATAGGAATTGGTGTGAAAATAGAGAAATAAAATAGAATAAAATGCAACTGGGAAAAACACCAACCAAAATCTGTTAGAAAAAAAGGAGCTAGGCTCATCCCACAGAAAACAGCCCCACATACATGAAACATTTTTTTCATGCAAATATTTGTTAGCAAAAAAGAGTAGGAACAGTGTAATTTTATGTTAATATGTGTGAAAAGTTTTCTTTCAACACATGTACATTTTCGAAAACAATGTTCATATACTTTTAGAAGAGTCGAAGAATAAAAAATGTTCCATATTTTTAAAATTTTAATATAATTAGCATTCATTGAACATTTCAACATATTTTAAAAAAGTATGCGTTAGAAAATGAAGTGGTCAACCCAGTTTAGGAAAAGGTTAGTCCACATAATAAATGTTCAATTTTTTTACAAAACTTATATTATGTTTGAAAAGTGTTTATGCCTTGTAGTGAAGAAAAATGTGTTTTTAGAAATATTTAAAAAAATAAGTAAATAAGAATGAAATTGAAAAATGAAAAGGGAATGAGAAAATAAAACAATACCGAAATAGAAAATGTAAAAGGAAAAAAATCAAGAAACGGGCGTTCGCCCATCTGAGGAGCACCTGAGGTGACCGCTCTCTATATGTCGGATTAGGCAGATATAGCATTTATGATCACTATGTCATATAGTAGTAGTGGATTACTTGGGTGACTCACACTTGTGTTGGTTATTACCCTTTTTTACCCCTAAAAAGGTAATTTCGGCCAGCCACATGTGCGGCTCATTGACGTTAGGTTTTTCATCTGGTTTTATTTTCCTTTTTTATGGCTTTTTGGGTGGGTTTTTCCTGTTTTGTTTTATTCCTCTAATTTTTCTTGTTTCTTCTTTAAAATATTTACGTGTTTTTGAATCTGTGTAGATATTAAAAACTTAGGACATTTTTATGGTTCATAAACATTTAAAAAAATAAAAAATTGTGATTTTTTTAATACTTTTATTTGACTTCTTATCAGCATAAAAAATAATACCAGCAACACCAAGTATTGAGCCACATTCTTTTGGATCTTCTAGTCCACTCTTTGAGCGCCGAATAGGCGCTGTATCGCGGATGGGCCAGGCTAAAATAGAGCTCGAGTGTGAAACCTCTTCGCTCGCTAGAAAAGCGATGCTTTACCCGGAAAAATAAACTACTTGCTCGCACCCTTCATAAGAAAACCGCTTGCTACTTGGCCAGAATACATAAATGGCTTCATGTTTATTTTAACTAAAAATGTATTTTTGAAAAAAAAATATGCTCCCTCCGTCCAGAAATATTGATCAGAGAAATGGATGTATCTAGACGTATTTTAGTTTTAGATACATTAAACTTTTATCCATTTCTCTGACAAGTTGACGGAGGGAGTACATCTGTTTAGAAAATATCCACATATTTAAAAATATTCAAGATATTTCAAAATATTCACTTATTTTGAAATGTTGAACAAATATAAAAAGTTCATAGGTTTTGACAATATTCGCATCTCCGAAAATGTTAATAAATTAGAAAAAAAATCTCTTTACTTAAAAATTATTTAATTTTTATATAGTATATTTTTATTTTATTTGAATTAACTAAAAACAGAAAATAGCAAAAACAGCTTGAAAACTAGAAGAAACAAATTGAACAACAGAAAAAAATACTGAGAAAGGAAAACCTTGAAAATACTGGGAAAATGAGAAATAAAAAGAATACAAGCGAAAGATAAAAAAGGTAAAAATAACTAGAAATACCCCGGCAAATATAGGAAAAGGGCAAAAGGAGCTATGCTCATCCCAAAGAAAACAGCCCCGCAGTGAGGAAAATCGACCTAGTTGGGCCGGCCAAACAATGTGTTCCGTGTGTGTTGGAACGGGGAATTCCACATTCTTTTGCTTAGTGATTACAATATTATTCCCTTACTGATAACCTTATTGAAATATATTGCAGCGCGTTGCCTAGCAACAGCGAACCGATTGGCAAGTTTATGGAAAATATCTGCACAGTTGCATAAATATCATGCATATCGAGAGCAACAGACACATTTTATGAAGAGAGCTCCTTAAGATAAATGATGAACTAGTGCATCACCAACATACACACCATGCCCCGCCATGAAAGGCACATTGACAAAGACAAATATCGGCATAACTGCACAGATCTGGAAAACATCACTTCCACTGCGACGCATACAACTTTGGACTTTGGAGGCTACGGTTCTAGAAGGAAATTTATCACTCTAGCTAGCTTGTTAACTTCAGATTCATGAGACGCAACCTGCAAATAGAGCAAAAACGAAAATAGAGATGTCAGTAAAAAAAATTTCCGAACCATGTCTTCTCTTACTATCTACTTCCTCCGTCCGGAAATAACTATCGCTCAACAGATTTATCTAGACGTATTTCAATATTAGATACACACATTTGAGCGACAGTTATTCTACTGCTAGATACATCCGTTTGAACGGCAGTTATTTTCGGACGGATGAAGTACATATGTATAATCTTGATGCAACGATATGAGTCGGTCAAAACCCTGTTTGTTGAAATTATGTTGGATGGAGAAACAAATCTACATGTAAATTGTAAGAGACACATCATGTTATGGTACTATGCAGAGGCATGCATGATATAGGTTCTTTTTTTTATTGTTGCAAAAAGCATGTTATACATTCTAGAGCTTGAATGAGGAAATGAACCTACCGTGACACCCCTATTTGTGAAGTTTAGCCCATGACTATTTTTTTTTGAGGGAGCCCATGACTATACTATGGTGGAAAAGGTAAACGGAACAAGTCATGAGCGAGCGGACGCTCACCATTGTACTGAACGTTACGTGCAACGAGTACAGCTGTGTGGATGAGAGACGTGTTGACGTTCTTTGCGGTGGAGTTGTATGACCGGCGTGCTTGCTGCGGAAGGAAAGAATGATCGTAGCCATAAATCGACCAACCTGCGTCATTTGGCGTCGCGGGCTGCGGGCCGGGAGGGTCCCCGGCGGTTGGACTCCACGGCGCTGTCGGGGAGGGGGCGATCCAGCGGGAGCTGGCCGCGGCCGCCGGCGGGCGGCGGCCCCCGGTGGCAGAGCCTGCGCGACGCCCGCCGCTCCTCGCTGACGCCGGCGGCGCCCACGAGCACCTCCTGCACGAAGGAGCGCTCGACGCCGTCGAGGAACGCCGCGTGCCGCTCCTCCGTCCACCCCTCGCCGCGCGCCAGCACCGCCAGATGATCGTCCATCCGATCCACGGCCACGCACGGCCCGAGGGTAGCGGAGGACGTACGCAGGCCCGCTCTCCTCGACGACGGCCGAGGGCAAACGTTATATGGGGCCGGACGAAATAAATATCTAGCCAGCCGACAAGGCCGTATGCAAACGCGCGGCGTGCTTATACTCGTCACAAACTTATACCAGCACTGATCCTGCTTGTCACTAGCAGTACGTATTCGCTAGGTATATCTAATGGCCGTGTCAAGGCGTATCATACCAGCATGGCGAGGCTGGGCTGGCGGGCCAGGAGGAATGCGACGTGCGGTGTGTCGCATGCACCGTTGAGGGCTTGAGGCCTTATCTCGTGCAGATATTTTGTCTGCGTGACGCGACACGCGAGTGAGTGTTACGGGCGGGCGGCTACGCAGCAAAGTCCTTGGGGACAAAAAGTGTGCCGCGCTTTAAACAAAAGTTCTGCGCTTTTCATTATTTTATGGACACACTCGTACACAATAAGAACATTATCTGTGATTAGTCTCCCAGGGACAAAGGCACTCTGAGTGGGAGAGATAATTTCCGGCAATATTCCCTTTAGTCTGGCCGCCAGCATCTTAGAGATTATTTTGTACAGGACATTACACAAACTTATGGGTCTGTATTGTGTAATTAACTCAGGAGATCAGGGCAGTCAGGACTATGTGTTGTGAAGCTGGATATGCACAAAGCTCATGACCGTGTGGAGTGGATTTTCTTGAGAAGCATGATGAAAAAACTTGGATTTCATGACCTCTGAATTGAAATGATTATGTCCTGAGTTTCATCAGTGAGGTATAAAGTAAGATTCAACTCTCAAGAAACTGATATTTTTACCCCTTCTAGGGAAATTAGACAGGGGGACCCTCTCTCCCCATATTTATTCCTCATTTGTGCAGAAGGATTATCTAGTATGTTGCAGTATGAAGAAGAAGTTGGTCGCATGGAGGGAATTAGAGTGTGCAGGAATGCACCATCAGTATCACACCTTTTATTTGCTAATGATTCTCTAATTCTCATGAGAGCAGATGTGTTAAATGCAACTTCCTTACAACAAGTACTGGATACCTATTGTGCAAGTTCAGGGCAAATGGTGAGTCTGGCTAAATCAAGTATATTTTTCAGTCCTAATACTAGTGTGGTGTCTAAGGCGGAAATTAGCCAAATTCTTCATATAGACACCGAAGCTCTTTCAGATAAATATCTTGGGCTACCAGCTATAGTTGGTGCAGATAAGAGTGATTGTTTCAGGCATTTTGTTGAAAGAATTAAGGAGAGATTACTAGGATGGATGGAAAAACAATTGTCTGTTGGGGGCAAAGAAATTTTGTTAAAGGCGGTGGCACAAGCTATCCCTGTTTTTGCTATGTCTGTTTTCAGTTTGCCCAAGGGGATATGCAAAGAAATTACAGATATTATTGCCCAGTTTTGGTGGGGTGATGATGAAGATCATAGGAGAATGCACTGGATGGCATGGTGGAAGCTCTGTATTCCAAAAAGTGAAGGAGGTATGGGCTTTAGAGACCTATATTCTTTTAATCTAGCTATGTTGGCTAAACAGTGCTGGAGACTCGTCACTGATGCAGATTCTTTGGTGGCGAGAGTTTTAAAAGCTAAATATTATCCTAATGGAAGCATTCTTACTGCTACTCCAAAAAATGGGTCATCCTTTACTTGGCAAAGTATCCTTAAGGGACTGGAAACTTTTAAGAAAGGGTATATTTGGAGAATTGGGACCGGGGAAGAAGTGAATATATGGAAGGATCCTTGGATCCCAGCTAGTTCTGATTTGAAGGTTATCACTCCTCGGGGCCAAACAGTGTTGACACGGGTGTGTGAGTTAATTGATCCTATGACGGGCACTTGGGATGAGGACTTACTACAACATATTTTCTATCCTGTAGATGTTCGCAGAGTACTACAGATTCCTATCAATCTCCATGCCTTTGATGATTTTATTGCGTGGCAACCAAGCCGGACTGGTATTTTCTCTGTTCGCACAGCTTACCATTTACAATGGATGCATACTTTTCGAGCACATGGAACTAGGATGGAGAACCCTGGTGGATCCACACCTCTGGCAGTCTGGAGTACACTTTGGAAACTCCCAGTTCCACGTAAAGTTCAAGTATTTGGATGGAGGTTGTTACGAGGAATCATCCCGCTACGAGCTATCCTCACTAATAGGCATGTCGGGTCTAATGGAGCCTGCCCAATCTGCCATCAGGGGGCGGAGGACATCAAGCATCTTCTATTCCAGTGCACGCATGCAAGGGATTTGTGGGACCGACTAGGCTTGCTGGAACTAGTGAATCAATCATTGCCAGTGGATAGATCGGGATCGATCATTGTCGCGCATATACTGTCACTTCCGGACAGTCATCTATATATGCATCCGAACATCAATTTTAAACAGGCCATTTTGGTGGGAGCGTGGTACCTATGGTGGATTAGGTGGCAGGCCACACACAGTGAAACATACCCACCCTCATGGAGATGGCCTATCTCAGTCCTGTCCATTGTGAGGAATTTCTAAAATGCCTCTAACCGAATGACCGAGTTGCCTGAAACAAAATGGAGGAAACCGGACCCAAGATTCATAAAACTTAATGTTGACGCAGCTTTTTTTGCACATGAGGGCATTGGTGCAACTGCAGCTATTCTCAGAGACAACAGGGGAAATTTTATTGCGGCTCACTGCAAATTCATTGCTATTGCAGCCGATGCTATCACCACGAAGGCAATGGCCATGAGAGATGGATTACTATTCGCTAATTCCCTTGGTTTTAGTAGGATAGAAGTGGAGTCTGATTCCCTTCAAGTCATTAATTTCTGCTCTGGACAAACAAGATGGTGGGATGAAGCTGCAGTCGTATTTGCAGAATGCATAGATATTTGTTCTTCTATTGGAAAGGTCACCTTTAAGCATTGCTTACGATCATATAATAATGTAGCGCATGTGCTAGCTAATCATAGTTATCATAATAAGTCCTCTTTTAGTTGGTTGGACGAGCCTCTCGATTTCTTGATGAGGAAACTCGTGGACGATGTAAGCGTGTTTTAATTCAATAAAGCTAGCCATGATGGCCTTTCCTTAAAAACAAAAAATTCTGCGCTTTTCCTGATCCACTCCACTGCATATGCCGTGTTCAAAACGGCGCGAGAAATATCTTGAGCAAACTAGTACGTATATGGAACCCCCAAAAAACGATATGGAACCCTAAGTTTAAGAAAACTTATGTCGAAATTTATAAGTTTTCTTTCGTTGCATAATCGCAACTTTTGCGCTAATAATTGTCACCTCATCCAAATTATCCATATACCGCAAAAACTGACCGACAACCATGGATGTAGGAGGAACAAGACGTCGGTATTCATAGACTTGGATGCATTTTTCAGCTTCTGTAAAGGTGTTTTGTTAAGGCATGTGCTACTTAACATATGGCCTTTGAACTTTTCGCAAATATTTTGGATGAAAATTCAAAGTTCCGCCCACATGTTGACCAAATTTTGACTGTAATTCAAAGTTTCCAAAATTATTTTAATCAATTCTAGAAAACAATAAATTTTAGAAAATTTTAAACAATGGATATTCTGGAAAAGTTTTGGCTCAACTGGATGAGGAGTTTGAGAGATAATTATTCTAAAGTTTGTGGTTGGCCCAATCATGGAAAAGTTGTAACTCTCCAAATAAATGAGAAAATATAGAAAATCATAAATAGTTCATGGACCCCGATAACGCTCGGATGTTTGGGATTTGGCTATGGCAAATCGAATGTTTTCAATGACTATTTTAATGCTCGAGGATGGCAATTTTAGTTGGCAAGCATGACAACACCGTGCTCAGTGTTTTTTTTTCCTAGAAAATTGCCCTACGTGTCAACTAAACTTGTCATTCTCGCGTCACAAAAATTGCCATCCAAACATTCGATTTGCCATGGTCAAATCCCGAACGTTCTAGCAAGTGACCAGGTCAGATAAATCAAGGAGATCAAACATGAATTCTTGACATGGTTTCACTAATGGGCATTTACAAGATTACAACGCTATGGTATTGTGTAACAAACAATTTTAGCTGATATACACCACAATGTGTAACTTCAATACACAATGACTACCATGACCATATAAAAATACACAAATTAACATGAATCATACTTCCTTTGTTATATTAGCTAAATTCACAATCAGGAGTTTATCATGGATAAGTACCATTGTCGTGACATGAGTCGCCCGTCAAATACTTGGATTTTGGAGATTTATACTTCTTCACTACCACTGCTGCTGCTGTTTTTCCGCACATTCAACTTGCACAAAGGGCAAGTTGCATTGATGTGAAGCCACTTGTCAATGCAAGCGCAGTGGAAATGGTGGCCACAAGGGAGTTCACGCAGCTCTGCGCCATCATCATACACTGAAAGGCAGATGCAGCACTCCTGCATCGACCAAGCAGATGATGAATCATTTCAAAATAAAGTTAGTATATGAGCTCATAGAAAAGCAGAAGCAATGCACAGATAAAGCACTTAAGCTGAAACAGGACCAACAGGCTCAGGATGATGGTGCTAAAAGAAATGCATTTGAGCTAAAGAGCTGATAATTCATTAATCTGGTTTCTAGTACAACAAAAAACCATTCAGAACAAAGTAATTTCGACGCTAAAACCTATGTGTATGTGCAAGGATTTGTTACGTGCACAAAGAAAAGCAATCGCTACAAAGACTATAAACATGTTTTGTCAAAATGCACAAGTCAATTAATAGTAAGCACACGTTCATTTGTTTATGACTAGATAATTGCCCGTGCGTTGCAATTGGACCACAAATATTTAGTACACGGTCACCGTGATTTACCTTCTATTTTATTAGCAATGTGACTTCGTACCAAAAAAGTATTTTGACTGCCAACTGAATCAGTACTTATCGACTCACCAAAGATAACATGATTTTATTTGGTGAGCCAATAAGACGTGCAGAAGTTGAGGCGGTTTTCAAGAAAAAACAGCAAAACCAAGAACGGAGGTGGAGCAGGAAGGGAGGACGAAAAAAACGATGTAAGACGGAAACTTGAATATTTTTAAGTAGGAAGAGAATCAGTACTTGTTGGCTTGCCAAAGAAAACATGGGTTTATTTGGGAAGCCAATAAGACGTGGGGCAGTTGAGGTGGTTTTACTTTGGCAAAACCGAAAACGGAAGTGTGGTGGGGAGGCAGCACGAAAGAAACGAATGTAAGACAAGACCTTGCGTATTTTTTTATTTCTTTATGATTTCCGACATCAAATTTAGACTCAGATACCATGTTAATGGGATAAATCAGTTCCACAGTTCAAGTGGGCCCACCACACTACAGCTTGAAATTCCTCTCCATCTGGATATTTGCAGTGAGGATTCACAGCAGAACACCTTTTTGCATTTCCCAATATTTACAGGGAAATATTTCGTAGTTTTGTAGCTAAGCTGGCCATGACCATGAAAAACTGTGATATACACCCTCCTTTTGGTCTTGTCTTCAGTCAAACTGTTCTAAGTTTGACCAACTCTATAGAAAAAAGTATCAACATATACAATACCAAATAAACTTTATACTGAAAAAAAAATCCTGATAGATCTCGTGATACTAGTTTGGTAGTGTAGATGTGAATATTTTTTCTACAAACTTGGTCAAACTTAAAACAATTTGACTTAAGAGAAGACTGAGTAGCTTTGTATAGACGAAAGGAGGGAGTACCAAATATTTTTTCTACCAAGTTCCATACATGTAAATGTATCATATAAAATTACAGAGTAAGTTGGTATAATAAAGTAGGTTCACATAAGCAGGAACCAGTTTGGCAAATAAATTTATACATTTCAAGGACAAAAGGCGGCGAACTTACTGCATCTTCAGCTGCAAGTACTTTCTCAATAGGTTGGTTAGTACCACACTCTATCATTATTCCACCAGAAGATTCAGTTGTGGTGACAGATTGCTTTTCAGGCTCTTCCATCCTCCGAAATTTGTATTTCGGAATTTGGCGAATGTCATCTTCGGAAGCACCCTCCTAGTATAAACAGATTGTGAAAAGAAGTGTATCCGTCTACTCGATGAAAAAGGTTTATGCTTTATTTTTGTGTAGGCAGACTATACAAATGTAATGCAAGCCCAAAAAGTATTAAGAGAAGCTAGGAATCAGAACTATCAGTCTGCAATTAAACAATATCAATATAAGTTCAGAAGACATTTATCAGGGAACTAGTACCCATATGCCAACCAGACTCAGTTGAGACAGGTGGCACACCTGCACTTCCACTTGTCATTGGGATTCATCAACAGGATTCAGAAGTGGGCAACAGTTGGACAACAATAACAAAAACTATTCAAAAGACATACCAACACAACAGAAACCACTTTAATATTTCAATTTCCTGATTCAAAAGACAGCTCTGGTTTTAACAATTTGCCAACATCTATAACTTGTAAAGTAGCTGAGTAAGACTTGGTCGGCTAAATCAGACCATAAATATAGCTTACACTATTTAATCTAATTACACGGCACTTTTGAAATGCTAGACCACGTGTTCCTTGTATATGGCCAATAACAATTAACAATGCCTAACCAGTTGACTTTTAGAACAAATTGTGCATTGGCTGGTTACTGGTATAGTCATGACTAGGTATAGTGTTATGAGAACCACCAGCATAAGAATACACGAGAACAAATAGTGAAACTAGCATATGTTGGCACCAGATAAACTGTAACTTAACGGGCATTTACAAAACACACACTTGAGAAGCCATACCTGATCTGATACTGCATATAAAATTGCTATGATACAAGGGAGGCAGCAACAAACAGCAATACCAATGATGCAAGCCAGAGCAACACAAAAGACGACAAAGAAAACATCAAATGCCAGAAATACGATGCAAAGCCTGCAGGAAGTTGTAAGGAAATATGTTCATAGTGTCAAACAAATAAAATGAAAATCCATACAAAAAGGTCCAAGCATATCTTATCAAACTATATGTACCAGTAGAGCTGAGGTGCATCATGGGTAAGAACTTGTCCACCAGCAGATACCCAGTAAAATCCAATTATCCACCATATAAAGGAGAACATTGTATTAGCAGATTCCAGATGTTTTGCTACACTGCAATGGTACATATAACTCCAATCAGGAAATAAGACATGGTGGAAATTAACATATTGCAAAGAATACACAAAACTCTAATGTAAGGGCAGCAAAACAAGAAGAAAAGTGTGAAATGAATTCAACACCAAACTACAGTTACTTAATTGAAATGAAGAAAGTGAACACTGGTAAAATATAATTGCAAGGAAACTTGCATACAAGCATAGGAGGTAAAAGCACAAATTCATATTGTCAATGAAAATAGAAATGCCTAACCACCAGGCTGGTGCTTATATAACCAGAGATGCAGAATAGAACAATTACAGACATATTTCTCCAAGAAGTCGTATACAGCCTTACATCATAATACAAATCAACGTGTTAGTTGTCTGTCCAAGCCACATATATGGATAAAATTGTTCAAGATTTAGGATGGTATGGGGAACTTCTAATAACACTAGTATTTGATATTCACAAGAAAATGCATGTGTTCAAATTTTGTGCTCCGTAATAGGCTCACACCCAGATAAACCGGCATAACTCAGCATGCATTAGCAAAAGCAAGGTGGACGAAGACCAATATAATGAAGATTGCCAAAAATGAAGGGAACACAGGAAACAACTGGAGTTGTCTAATCCAATTAGCTTCACAGCTAAAGTAACTCGATTTCAACAATTAGCTTCACAGCTTCAAATACTCAGTTTGTCAGGAAATAACAGAGTAACGACAAATAAATATACCACATAATTAATTCTACCTCCATAATATTCCTATATGGTACTCCCTATTATGTTCCGCTCAGAATGAAAGTACACCCACGCAGGGAACAAGTCAAGGAAAGAACATTAGGATACAGCTAGTCATGAACTCCTAGTACAAATTTATAGGGAACAGAGGAACATAATTGTGCTTAAGTTAAAGGACTGCAATGGTATTCACAAAATTACCTGACGAAGTCGCCAGTGCGTCCATGGGGACCGCTCTCTCCGGCGTCGTCTATGGACGAGGATGATCCATCAGTGCCCCTCTCCTCGTCGGCGGCCGTAGAGGACCCGCCACGCTGGCCGTGACGCACACGATACTCCATGGCAACACAGACCATGTGCAGGACGCACTGAACGGCATACCCGGCTACCCAAATACGGAGCGGCACAGACGGGCTTTCGTCGCCGCTGAGCACGAGCACGACGGCGGTGGTGAGGATGAAGGCGAGGTTCCAGAGGAGGTCGAGTGCCACGACAGGGCGGGAGTACGCCCAGTCGGCCTGGCGCTCCTCTAGCTGCTCCGCCGCAGTCTCCCGCACGAGCAGGGACGGCTCCCGCATCGCCCGCCGACCGCCCTGCCGCAGCAGCCGCGCCGTCCCACGGAGCGATGGCCGGCGCAGCGCGCCACGGCGCCGCCCACCGCCGCCGAGCAGCGGCGCTGAGTCAAGGAGCTCGTCGCCGCGAGGACTCGGGGATCGTGGGGTCGCCATCGCAGGAACCCTAGCGAAATGGGGAGGAGGTGTGTGCGTCTTTGTTACCTTCTCCCCTGCGGAAATGGGAGAAGACTCGGGTTTTCCTTCCAAGGTGACTACGGCGCGTGATTCATTTCTTTCTTTCTTTCTTGAGCACCAAGTACTAGTAGTTTTTTTTAGCACTAAAACTTTATTCCTCACATAACTGTCATATCCTTGTCGAATTAGCAAAGATTTTGGTTCGAAATGCTTTCATTTAATTAATCAGCCCCACCTTTTCCTATGCTCTGATCTCTGAGCCCTTATTTAGCTTGGGTATCCCTTTAAATTAAATTTCTATTTTCAAAAACGGGTTTTAGCATTGATGGTTTGATACCAAACCATGGGTGGATTTCCCCTTTTCAAGAACACGTTTCAGGTAGACTTTTTTTTAATACGATTTAGGTTTTTTATGTGATTTCAGGTGGACTTTGAAATTGGGCTCTTTGGATAGAGAGAGAGAGAGAGAGAGAGAGAAACTAGGCTAGTTTTAGAAGATCACATGTAATTCTAGTGTTCTGGCAAAAAATAACAAGCAACTTAAGTGAAGGAATGTCAAAAGAATAGAACCCCACTCTTCATATAGTGGACCCGTGTTGCTTCCTTGAGGGTCATTCGGGAGACAACCCAAACCAGTGAGAATGCCCCTAGGAAAAACTCGTGCAATTGATGACGGCGGGGTCCTTTCTATTAGTAGTGGTGGAGTGTGGCGTTGCATTGCGACGATGGTTGGGTCGCGATGGGTGTCACATACCAGATTTAAAATTTCAAATCGGGTATATTAAAAAATTCACAGGGAATTAAATTTCTTGTAGAAAATTGTTGCTTGTTTGCCTCTAGCTGGAAAATTGCATAGAAATTGCCTAGGATTTGCTTGTTGATTGATTATGTTGCCTTGTGTGATGCACCTAGAGAGTCAAAGGCCCTATGCCAACTTTCAAACCCTTGTTTGAAACTTGGAAAAACAGAATAAACCTCAAAAGTTTTGGGGAATAATTTTGAAATCCAAATAGGGCGACCAATTAAAATGTTTATTTTGGGCATAAGGCTATCCCTAATAAGTCATTCAAGCCCTAATGATTTTTCCCTAAATGGTTGAAATGGATTGATTTGGAATCAATTCAAAAATCAAAGGAAATGTTATTAAAAGGGACTTTGCATTCTTTTGGCAAGAAAGTGAATTTCATAAGTCCAACAAGCCGCCCGTCGGCGACCCCACCTACTCCGTCACTAACCTTACCACCTTTGGCGGGATTTGGCGAGGCTAGAGCTCCTCTTGACCCGCCATTGCCACTGTTGCAGTCTAGGACACCGTGCACATCCACTAGACATCGCCGCCTTGACTAGAGCGTCGATCCCAACGAAGGTCGAGCCCCACCGCTGCTTCGCCATTGCTAGCGATGAGGTGAGCACACGCTTGAGCCACGCACCATGTCCTCGATCATAGGAGCTCATTTTTGTTGCGTGCATCCTCACCCGAGAGCTCCACCGCCTCGGTCACCTTCGGCGAGCCTCCCTGATGTCGTCTCCATCGTCCCTAGCCGCGGCCAGCACCACCATCGTCAGCCGCGTCCACCTGTGTTCTTCGTTGCCGCCGGCGACCACGGGAATGACCGGAGCGTCCACTCTCGAAGCCTGCGCCGCCGTACTCGCATTTTCTCGCAAGACCCCGATGAAATTCTGGTGACCTAGTGTCACCCCTCGGTGAGGATCTAATCTCGTCCATTGACCTCAATCCAATGGCTTACGTGCACACACTTAAATCCAAACAGTATCGACTAAGCACACACTGCCATGCCACCAACTTTATTTGAAACATTATTCACTCGTTATGTTAATTAAAAAATAGTTTTGCAGAAAACCCCCTAGATGTTAAAACTATCATAACTCTTTATCCATAAATCCAAATTTAGTGATTCTTTTTTTGCAAAATGACCCTTAGAAAATGCAATTTCACCTGGACTAATAAAATTTAGAATTTGAATAGTTTCAAATTCAAATAGAACGAGTTTAAATTTGAGTAGGGCATAACTTGCATTTTAGAAATCCTATTTAGTTGATTCTTTTTGCAGAATAAACCTAGTAACATATAGTTCCAACTTAGCTCACTCTAGTTTAATATTATATAATTTAATATTTTAATTTTAATATAGTTTAAGCAATAGCTATAATTCAAATAGTATTGAACCCAAAACTAGTTTAATCTTGAAACAAAAATGTTTGTTAGAATAAATATTTTGCAACTAAGTTCGGAAACTTAAAATGAAATGTAGTAAATATTTTGGGGATTATTATTTGACTTTAGGGAATTTAATTTGAATTAAATTCAAACTTAGATTGGAACTAACTTTGAAACCATAGGTTTAATTTGAATAAAACTTTTGCAATATGATTTAGTAATTTGAATTAAACCTAGTAATTTTTGGGGTATAATTGACTTTAGGGAATTAATTTAAATTGAATTTAGTCAGACTTAAATAATTTTTGAAAAACTAATTGAACTTAGCAAATGAATTTGGATTTAAACTTGACTTTAGTTTAAACTTGATTCTAAATAAATAAAGTTTAGTAATTATATCGAATTGTTTTGACTTAGGGAAGACAATAAATATATCTGAGTTGTGAACTGACTTAGTCAATTATGAAATCATTCACAATTCAATTTATGGTAAACTCAAACTTAAGGAAATCAAATCAAATTATGAACTCAATTCAACTTGAATTCAAATGAGATGAACCCTAATTTAAATCCAAATTGAAATTGGAAGCCATGCCAAGTTATTATTTTTAGACCTTAGTCTATCCAAGCTCATGAAAGGTTGATGATGACCCACAAGTATAGGGGGTCAATCGTAGTCCTTTCGATAAGTAAGAGTGTCGACCACAACAAGGAGCAAAAGGAAATGACAAGCGGTTTTCAGAAAGGTATTTTCTGCAAGCACTGAAATTGTCGGTAATAAATAGTTTAATAGCAAGATAATTTGTAACGAGCAATAAGTAGTAACGGTAACAAAAGTGCAACAAGGTAGCCCAATCCTTTTTGTAGCAAAGGATAGGATGGACCGGTCTCTTATAATAAGCAAAGTGTTCTTGAGGACACAAGGGAATTTTATCTAGTCACTTTCATCATGTTTGTTTGATTCACGTTCACTACTTTGATAATTTGATATGTGGGTGGACCGGTACTTGGGTGCTATTCTTACTTGAACAAACCTTCCACTTATGATTAACCCCTCTCGCAAGCATCCGCAACTAAGAAAGGAGAATTAAGATAAATCTAACCACAACAATAAGCATATGGATCAAAACCAGCCCCTTACATAATAGCGCATAAACTAGGGTTTAAGCTTTTGTCACTCTAGCAACCCATCATCTAATTACTACTCCACAATGCATTCCCTTAGGCCCAAAAATGGTGAAGTGTCATGTAGTCGGCGTTCACATAACATCACTGTTACGACATATCTCTCTCAAGGTAGTTTTGGTGATTGATGACAACATGTTTGTGGACTAATCTTGTGCTTTGAATTATTCACAGATTCTCCCCTGGCACGAGACGCCTTCTTCCCCTCGGAGTGTATTTCAAGACGGTGTAGCTCTTTCGTTTCTTTCTCGGTGGACTAGTTGCATAGAGGGCATCGTACTATCAAGAGGGGGTCCGCTGGGGTTTTGCATGGGTGGAATCATCACGTACACATCTGCTTCTCACCCTCCGAGCATTTCCTTTCCATTGAAGATATCTCTCCTCTCTTCCTTGTCCTGTCTGGGTCTAAGCGATAGTACCACGCACCCAGCGGTAGTACCGCTGAGGAGCCAAGCGGCAGTACCGCTCCGCAGCGGTAGTACCGCCCTTGGCTCCATAGCAGTAGTACCGCTGGGGGCCTGGCACCTCCGCTGTGTCCTTAGCGTATTTGAGAGATCCCTTCTCTCTCTCTCTCTCGCCCCAGCGGTAGTACCACACTGCCTGCGGTACTATGGCCGAAGGGTCACAAGCAGCAGTACCGCTCCACAGCGGTACTACCGCCCTTGACCCCACTACCGTAGTACCGCTGGGTAGTCTGGCTCCTACCGCCTCGATTCGAGAGGTCTTTTTCTCGTGTCGGGTTTTGCGGCACTAGTCACGGTTGTAGTGGCGGTAGTACCGTTCCAGGAGCGGTAGTACCGCCCTACCACCGCGGTAGGGCCGTAATTGGGGTCCGTTCCCTACTAAGTCTCCTTAGCGCGGCAGTACTGCTGGGTGGCGCGGCAGTACCGTCGCCTGGCGGTAGTACCGCCCCCTCTCTGCGGTAGTACCGCCCTGTGCGGGGCTGGTTGGTGGGGGGCAACGGGATTGTTGCCCCCACTATAAAAGGGAGTCTCCTTCCTCCTTCTCACCTACCTCTTCCTCCCCCAAGCTCCATTTATTGCTCAAGCTCCATTAAATACTCCAAGCTTCATTTCCGTCCGATCTATCTCTCTAGCCAATCAAATTTGTTGATTTGCTCGGGAGTGGTTGAGAAGGCCCCGATCTACACTTCCACCAAGGGATTTTTGATTCCCCCACTCATCCCTAGCAGACCTTGTTACTCTTGGGTGTTTGAGCACCCTAGACGGTTGAGGTCACCTCAGAGCCATATTCCATTGTGGTGAAGCTTCGTGGTCTTGTTGGGAGCCTCCGATTAAGTTGTGGAGTTTGCCCCAACCTTGTTTGTAAAGGTTCGGTCGCCGCCTTCAAGGGCACCAATAGTGGAATCACGGCATCTCGCATTGCGTGAGGGCGTGAGGAGAATACGGCGGCCCTAGTGGCTTCTTGGGGAGCATTGTGCCTCCACATCGCTCCAACGGAGACGTACTTCCCCTTAAAAGGAAGGAACTTCGGTAACACATCCTCGTCTCCACCGGTTCCACTCTTGGTTATCTCTTACCTTTACTTGTGCAAGCTCTTTATTGTTTCTACCCTTGCTTGCTTGTATGCTTGTTGTTATTGCATCATATAGGTT